CATCAATACAGAAACATTGGATTCTAAAGCAATGAGTCATTGACAACCATAAAAAATCGGTTTTGAAGCACCGTCAAGAGGTTTCTCTCCTTTTACATCTGACGAACAATAGCTTACACCATTTTGCATGAGTTTCTTACAAATCTGCATATATCGTATTTGTCGACCTTTGTATGTTCAAATAGTATGTAAATGTGTCCACTTTTCATCCATTTGTCGATTTGCAAGAGTAACAGCTTCAAGCAGTTTTCCCCATCATTCCGGTGTTCTCCCAGTCCACCAAGTTCCGTAGTGCGACACACTTGAGTCATCAAGCCACTGATCGTATGTTGTGTGGTTTTAGGAAGAGAATTTCTTAACTGCGCCGGAATCCCATCTTGTCCGCTAAATTTATGCTTTCCTAGGGTATTAATGAGTTTCTATGCTTCTAGCTGTCACTCTGAACAAACACAAAGTTCAATCACATGGCTGACAAAAACCGAAAGGACATTTCAGGAGACAAGCTTAAATCTCCAAATGATTCACACACAAAAATTCAACCTTAGAGGCCTTGAAAAAGCCGGCTTTCGTCTGCAGCAAAGTGGGTACATTTTCAGCGGTGCATTTCAGCAAGTTCAGAAGAACGTCGAGGGGGATGAGAATATCGATGTCGGTCAACAACTGAAAAAAGCAAAAAATATAACCACGAAATAAATCATGAAATTAAAAAACAACCACCTGCAACCAACGAACGGCCATCGCTTGTTCCTGGTAGTCTTGACATGTCAGTCGAACCTCGATGAAATGATAGATCTCCTGCGGTGGGAAAGACAGAGAGCACAAGTTTACCTCGAAAATTTTGCTAAATGACCATCATCACACTGTGGATAAGATATCAATGGATAAGTGTAAAGCAGAATATGTAAACTTCACAAATGTGTCGATGGATATAAAGCCAAGGTTGGTGCAATATCTAAAAATGATGAGTGCCTGGCCAATTGCGGTATTTGGAAATTTTTTGGCGCTGTTTTGTCATATGCTAAACACAAACAAAAACGGTTTTTCACCTGAAGGTATATATCATAATACGGCTTCGTACCGAAGTGTGTCACAGCTTGTGCATAACCGAATTTCACCGCATATTCTAACTGCTCCACATATCGTTGAAGAAGTTCAGGCTTAACGGCATATGAACGAATGCTGCGTGCAGACTAATGATACATCAACAAGGGAAACCAGAGTCAGAGAAGTCATATGTTTGCTGACATATGCCGAAGCAAATATCAACTACCTTAATAACCTATGAAAATTTATAAAGATTTCACAGCTTTTGAAATACCAGGAATAACGCGAATTTTTGACAATAAAACGATAATAGAAGGATCATTAAATATAACCCAACCAAATGAACAAAAAAGATCTATGCTGCACACAAATAAAACTGTTTCTCATGAGCAGCGAACCTACTCACCCAATACCGCAATATTATTTAGACAATAACTGTCCTATTTTACATATCTGCCTCAGAGTACACATCAAGCTGCAACGCCTGATTGCTGTAGTCAAAGGAATCAAAGTCGTCTGTCCAAAAGCTCCCATTTCATGAGTATTCAGTTGACGTCCCTGATGCAGTGGTTATAAGACTGGACCAGCAAGCTTTAATAGGATCATAATAGTGAATCAAGTACTCGTGGTTGATATGAAATGACATTCACAGAATCTTCCTTTTGTTTGTTTGTTTCCTTTTTCTGTCAAAAGGCGCTTACGATGTACAGCCATTGTAAAAATGAGAATGAAACTAACCGATCCACACTTAATACAAAGAAAATAGCAATGACAACAGAATTTACATTGTGATCAACAAAGTGTATTAAGTTAGGAATAACAAATATGCTTCATTTTGCAAAATGTATGAATCAGTGTACAATTTACGTAGCAGTTTCAAATAGCCATTAAAATAATTTAAAACATGGAAGTACAACATTTTACACAGAATGTACATAAAAACAACTGAGGAAATTAAACGAATTATGAATTAACATGAACAGACAGCAGTGGCAAATGCGCGCTGTAATAACTAATAATGTAATTGAATTATCAAAAAAAACTAAAGTACAACAACTTGGACAATCTCTTAAACTATTAGCTGTGAGATAATCCGTATTTACGGCTAATTTTATTACATAATCTTTATATATTTATTTCAAATCATTGTTGAAACGGAGGTGATCTTTGTTATTTCAATAAGAAATAAAGAATTACTTAAAAACAATTTATAAAAAGTTCCTGGCTTGGTAATCCAAAACTCATGTTAGCCTTATAAAGCTAATTACTAACACAACAACATTTATTAGCGTATATAATTTTATCACTAATGGTATAAAACGTCATACGCAAAAGTATTGTTATATTATACCATAATATGTGATCTAAGTCAAAAATTCTCGTTATATCCTGCTATATCCTATGAGTATTCGTTAAATGAGAAGTTTTTCTGGACATTTTTTGAAATAATCACATCTACTGTTGTTGCTGTGTTTCTATTTAGATTGTCATTTTCAGCTCTAGGACTCATACACTAAGCACTTAAATTAATAACCTCATCGACATACCGATGCCATCACATGAAAATTCACATAGGAATCTGGAATTGAGATCAATGAGGCATTTTAATTTACCATAGTAATACTTTCAGTTCGGCAAGGTCGCTCTCTGATATCTGCATCGATATGACCTCGAACCACATGGGCATGATTTTCTCCCATGTCTAACGAAATGCAAGATTTCAACAGTTGTAGTAGAGAAGGTCAGAACAAATTACTTCATAAGAAATCAAATCGTACGGAATCAGAGCCAATATCTTGGACAGTCCCTCCTTGAGCTGCTCATTTCTCTTCGACATCTTGTCCCAGTTGCCGCCGACCTTCGCGTAACTTGGCGGATCAGGTAACAAGCACTGAACAAACACGTCGGAATGTGTTTGCAGCACTGTGCGCAGCCAAGTACAGGCAAACTGCAAACAAACAGCACAAGTCATCATGGGGGTCAGTGGTATTTCAGAATACCTCATTCTTCAGCTGCTCCAGATTTGTACCAATAGAATCTACAAAAAATATCTTTATCAGTGTCCAGCAAGATTCAGATTACATTATTACTCTACGACGTCGTAAATTTACAAACCTTATAGCAATTATCATAGAGCATATGCAACTGAAGCACAATGAGTTTCATAACTCTTGATTTGAGTCCCACCACTGCGATATTACAATAAAAATCATTTTACAATTCTTCTCACTTAAATGTCATGGAGTAATGTCCTGCTTAAATGGTCTTATAAGCATCTAGAAATAAGAGGGCGGTGGAATAATGCTGCAGGTTTAAAGTGAAAAAAAAACTTTTTTCTTTATTTACGCTGTGCATTTTCGCCAATTCAGTCCGGTATCATTATTTTTAAGTTTAACCTGATATATTCAGCGATGGCATCGAAATTTATTCAGCAGAGTACGGGGTACTTGGGTCACATTTTGTCACTTATTCGTCTACGGACTACAGCAATCTTGTTTGGCTGAATATACTTTTGTTCAACCCAAGTTTAAGACGCCGTCCTGCGTCTTACACACTGCAGGCGCTTAAATACCATGGAGTCGTGGCCGGCTTAAATGATCCCCTAGGCCTGTAGGAGCATGGGGTCAGTGCAACAATGCAGTTGTTGTAAAGTGAGAAATAGATTTTTCTTTCTTTATACTGCGTGTTTTCGTCGTTTCAATCCCGTATCTTTATCAGTTCTAATGAAAAATTCTTTTAATAAAATAATTATAATAATATCATAATTATAATTCTTTTTTGTTCACTTACGCACTACATTACTGGCAAC